TGTATTGGTATACATACACAGATTCGTACTTAAAGTATAAAACTTGTATAGAGCACATGCTCTAAATTACATTGCCCGAAGCAGAGTATGTGATATTTAATACTGCAACAACGCTCCCATAATGTGTGCTACTCACCTGATAAAATCTTCGCAGCTTCCCATGTGACAAGCCCAGTTGTTCCCTTGCATAGGAAAGCATCTGATTCCTTCAGTGTAAGGACAACTCCGTTCTTAAGATTCTCGTCTAGAAAATATGATTTATAGCTAAACCCTTCGTCTTCGCTACCTCTTGTGCAGCTTTGTATCAGCATATTTTGCCATATTTCGGCTATTTCAGAAATCATTGTATCTCCATATCCCTCAATGCTGCGTTGCAAAGCTGATTTCAAAAGAACCCCAAAGATAGCGCGCACCAATAAGAACGAGGTATAGCAGTCGTCAATATTGTATCGTGGGCGTGGGTACAATTTTGGTGTCAATCTACGCCCATGTTGCCCATTGTGTATATGGGAATATAAACAGAGACCATACGTATCAAAGCGAATAAGAGTCAATCACTTACAAGTATTTAATTCTCAATTGCCGAACCCTCAAGAGCAAGACATTTCTGGAGAGATCTCGATATGAACCTTTATGCACCTACCTAACCGCTAGCAATATAAGTGCACGCATCGTATTGTTCAGGATTTATGATCCAATATACATTATAATCAGCTACGTAATATGACACTAATTTATCTCTCTGCAAGATATGCATCACCCAGAAGGTATAAAAATGCAGAATTCAAATGATAATAATACTGGACTCGGTTTGAAACACGTCGATGTCTCGCATCTGGATGTCGAACTAACCTTTGAATATCATGAAAATATAACTCCGCCTCGGCTGTAAGTTCACCATACGAATGTCATTCAATACTTCGTTGTAGAAATCTAGCTGCGTGGCATCGTCCAGATCGTCCTATCATCAAGGAGTGCAAAGCAATTCATATAATTTGAGAAAAGTAGTTGTATGGATATCTGCTCACAATGAAAAAATATAGAATCAGCAGCCCTCCATCTTTATTAGCAACTTTTTATTGAACTATATGTTCAAACGATGGCGCACAAATTATATAACACATGAGATAGCCAGATGGTTAAGGGTAGTGTGAATTAGCCACGCAATGGCACTATTTTCGAACGATGTTAGATTTAACTGCGAGACGTTCAACTTTTTTTTTGCATTCGTAACTTACAGGCCAAATGAATTGCTTCAGCGGTACGACCGCATAGTATTGGCGCTTGATAGGCTCCAACCAACTGTTGTCAGGAGGGTATTCCATTCTAAAATATCAGTTTATTCCGCTAAGTGCAGTCAGCAATGCACTCCCCGTCCAACAAGAGACTGGACCGTCCAGGGCGAATACCTGCACAACATAGCCGTCTCAGATACAGACACAAAGTTACAACTCCATGATGACACCATGAAGACACGTCGAAATTGACACGTGTGTATAGATTGAATTTAGGGTTTGTCCGATTTAGGAATTTAGGGTTTAGGGTTTTAGAGGAGAATGTTCTTTGGGTTCTCTTTTGTGTGGATAGGCAACGACGACGAAGCAAAAGAATTTCAAGAATTAATGTGCAACAATTTATTTATATGCTCACCTCAGTGGAAGTTGTGTGTTTGTATTTCACAGATTTTAGAATGAACAATAAGCTACAATTGCTGACTGAATAGTTGAGATTCAGATTTAAAAGATATCACCAAGTTCAATCAGTAGAATCACAATACATCATTATGCTTTGGTGTTTACGAGGCAAAGTACCACTATGGGGAAGTGAGCAATTCCACCGACAGCTGAGTAGCACTCTACTCGCAACGTCCAGAAAGGCGGTATCATACTCCAATCGCGCCGCAACTTATAGTTCATTATGTAGCTGTACGAAGCTTATAAACAATAACATCAAATTATCAACTTTAAGGTTTGTACATACTAGTCGCGCACAAAAGTCGAGTGCCATTCCTGGAGCTGTCAATTTGTCAGGAGCAACGACGGGCTCACAGGCAGCTTCTGTCTCTAATGCAATGTCCAAGTTAATGACGGAGGCACAAACAAAACGCGTCAGCGTTTATTTCATGGGACTTGCTGTAATGACGGTCGGTAAGTATCGATTTTGGTCTACCGCTCATTTTCCATGGTGTGGTGTGTTGTGTCGAGATTTGCGTCTAGATATTCGTTCAATTCTAATGGGTTAGCCCTTGTTGTATATACATGGCCGCTGTTTCTTGACAGCGATCTTCAAGATTATTATATCTTACGTTTATTATGTATGTGTGTGCTCTGGAGATGCATCGGCTCCAGAGAGGTGCCAATACACTGTGGATATAAACATTAGACTCGGATATGTGCCACGATTACGGAAGAAATACCAGGATGAAATCCGATGGTGAACACCGATATTTCTTGAGGTTTTGGTGAAACTCTTCTCATAGGCATCAACAGCTTTAATCACGTTCTTATCAATTCTGTGTAAGATCTGAGAGGGTCGCACGTGTGTTTTCGATCATGGGCATGGTTTCATCGTCAACAAGCCTTAACGATATATCGGCCAGATGGCCGTGTATCTTTGCTTTTCTATACCGGCGTTATCTATCAACAAATATATTCAAATTTAAGCACATTATGATAAATGCTCGGCATTTCGACGGGACGAATGGAAAAACCTGTCCCTTTGGCACTTTTATTCGAAATCGGTAGACAAAACACCGAATTCTATCTTTGCGAAATAATTTTGCGCACGCTTGAATACCCATTGTGTTGTTTGACCATTAATGATCTTGTACAAATCGTCCGAAATACTCTGACACTCAGTTCTACGAACGTTAAATGAAGTTATTTTTTTGTTCTATTTGCGCGTTGCACAGCGTTGGTGACATCGGCGTACCAAGCCATTCGAAAGTACCTATGATTGATCCACATCACTAATATAGGTTGAAGTCGCGTGTATTTCTTTCTGTACTTGGACTATGTTTCGTACCCGTGGATTAAATTCATCGATACAATACATGCGCAAATCCAGAAAAACCCGCATGAGTTTTTATTATTGTTCTCAATTTTTTTGTGCTGGAGTACTATCATTGTAACACTCTTGTTTTTGGGCAATTGCTGGTACCTGTGCCTGTGTTTCTCGATGGCATTTTTGGATGTTAGCTATACGATCTAAATATGCACAGTGTGTGGCATAGGTGTGCCGTGGCGACATTTCACTGTGGATCAATTGTCACCTCATGGTAGCATCAACCCTCTGTGTTCCGATCTAAGATAAAAATATTGGTTTTCTTATATACTCCCCTAGGTGCCGTTGTTCTTGGTGGGATCACGCGATTAACAGAATCTGGCCTTTCAATGACGAATTGGCATCCCTTATTTGGTATACGCCCTCCAATGACTGCGGCGGAATGGGAGGAAGAGTTCAAGGAATATCAGAAGTATCCGGAATACAAATAGTAGGTTGAATGTCAGGAATGTTTTGGTTGACAGTATATGGAAATACTATTCCTTCAGCGCCCTGTAGATTGAAACTTTCTGTGGCGTATTTCTGCAGAATATTTTTCCGGGGTAGGGAACTCGACCTTCATCCAGAATTGTTGTCAATACTCAAAGCGTTCTCTGCTATCTTTATTTAATGCCGTGCTCTTTCTGTGCCTGACACTCTCTGCGCAGTACTGACTTCTCGCCTCTAATCTATATGTGTTTGTCATGGTTTAGTTCCTCATGATTACCCAAATTGTTCGGTTTTTTTGCAGTACAAATATGCATATGACCGTCGACGAATTTAAATCGATTTTCTACATGGAGTGGTTTCATCGTATCTGGGGGCGTATGATCGGCGTTGTGTATGCCGTGCCAGCCGCTTATTACTTAACGCGTAAATGGGTACCCTCCAGCGTGAAACGTCCCATTGGTTTAGTGGGATTGCTCATTGGATGTCAGGTTAGTGTCGCGATAATAATCTACATGGACCGGATTAGCTTTCTGCGCAAGTCATTCTGTAACACGTGTCTTGTGTATCTCAAAGTTGCGCTAATGGTGGATGTTTCGCTACGATATTACCTTTCCGTATTTTTCCGCTTGATGTAATCCAGGGGAGGTAATCACGCGAAAGGAGCAGTCAGGCGAGATTGTACGGATTGCATCCTTTCCAATCTGCTGTTTTGATGAAGTGATCAGAGTGGGTACTCGGGCTTGATGTGTGTATTTTGGGGGAAATATCGATTAATTGTATCACAATGCCGGTTTCTGCTTCAATACAGGGATTGATGGGATGGTACATGGTCAAAAGTGGACTACACGAGGATCCAGATCCCAATGCCGTACCTCGCGTCAGTCAGTATAGGCTGTGTGCGCATTTGGGGCTGGCTTTGGTTATCTATACGGTTACGTTTTGGCAAGGGTTAAAGAACATGACTACACCCGCCAAGGTATGCACCATCCGTGACTACACGTTTTCGGTATTCATAACGAAATTTGGATCGGCATGGATGTGTGTTCTTTTGTTTCACTTTGGTTTTAAAACTTCATTTGAAGGTACAATTGATACTAACAAGTTGTTATTCAGGCATACACCTATGATCTTCACACATACCTTGCTCTCCACTGTACTAATTTCCAAGCCCGCTGTTGTATTTCTGCGGATCACTATAGATCACCGATCTGCGTGCAGTGTCGCTGAAATATAGAGTACACGGTGCTGCTGGACTCATATTTTTGACGGCTCTCTCTGGGGCCTTCGTAGCCGGTCTCGATGCTGGACTCACATACAATTCTTTCCCTAAAATGGCTGACCGGTGGGTTCCAACTGACATGTGGGCCTTCAGTCCGTGGTATCGAAACATTTTGGAGAATCCTACCACGGTCCAATTCAATCACCGTGTACTTGTATGTTGATGATTTGTCTACCATTTTCATTGGATATTTCTGATCTATCAAATTTTCAAGTTCATACGCATAGCTCACCTCTATTTTGGCGGATTTGATCAGCGTATACCTTTTTTTTTCTTCTATATATTATGGCGAAACTCACTATCATTTTGTATTCTCTTCAGGGTATGACCACTGCGACTACTGTGCTGTGGTTATGGGCACAATCTCGTAAAGCTAGACTTCCCTACCGAGCGAAGGTGGCAGTGAATTGTATGGCCGGTATGGTGTGTCTCCAAGTATCGTTAGGTATTGCTACCTTACTCTACTTCGTACCCACTCCTTTAGCCGTTACTCACCAATCAGGGTCTGTTGCGTTGTTAACGACTGCTTTGTGGGTCATGAATGAATTGCGCTTCGCCCGGAAAGCGATCCCTCGGTTATAGCGGTCATTTTGCTTCGGAGTGGCTATTGAACCCTAACTGTCGAAATCAACAAGAATGTTATATATCTCAAATTAAATAGAAAAATAACTTATCCGATAAGTATACAGATGGTTTGTGTGAGCAACTGCAATTTTGACTAGATGATCGTGTGCGAATTCGGGTGTGGTGATGCCAGAAAATTATTTTTCCGATCGGAACTCGTCAAGCAGAAGCGCTTATCTAAGTAGCAATCAAAGCCCCCTTGGATCGCAAGTTAGCGTTTTTGCATCCCTGTTTGAATCATCATAACATCACATAAGAGGAGAGTTGGACAGTTGTGTTATCTGTGATTTACGGGGCTCTGGACTAATACCACCGACGCTCGGTCCGTTGACGATTTTCTTTGCGATACTATATATGTCAAATTGTTTCTTCAGACCTCCCCGTATAACTCACTGAAATGGCTGAAACCCCCAAATTTGCATTACCTCCGGGATTCCTCATATGGCCGTAAACAATGCATGTAGAACATACATGATTATGCGCGAGTAGAGTCGACTAATTTACCAGAGCCTGTCTTAAATCCATCCACACTTACTTGCGTATGAACCGCGCATCTTCAGTAAGCAATGATGTAAGGGTTCACAGACATGGACATATGCCACATTGATTATCACCTATTCGTATTTACACATTCGGTATACGTATATCACTTTCTTTATGACCTACTCGTATTTGCTCAGACCGCATATGTATACCACTTTGTTTATCACCTGCCCGAATTTCCGCAGGCTGTATATGTATATCACTTTATTTATCACCTGCTCAAATTTCCACAGACTGTATATGTATATCACTTTATTTATCACATATTTATATCACCTTTTTCATCACATACTCGTATTTATGCAGACTGTATGCGTACATCGTCATGTTTATCACCTATTCGTATTTGCACAGAATATAGTTGAGCGTGTATAAATGATATACAAGAACTTCTTGCTGAGCTGACAAAAAGTGGATTCGTTGAGGCGATTACAAAACGTTTGATACAAGAAGATTTAATTTTTCTATGCATCATCAACGGTCATGGGTAGCGCCCATCGACTCTGATGATTTAAGCGCACAAGTGATCGGTGCAGCGCGGCGTCCCATACGATATATGCTGGGGAAACACATCTCGCCAGAATCAACGCTTTGCAGTATAATATGAGATCACACACTTAAGATTTCAGGACTCGATGACTAGCATATACAAATCATTCCGGACCTTAAAATGGGTTCTAAAGCAAATATTAGCTCGGGATACATCAGTCACTCATCCCACGGCGTCTTCTAACGACCAAATACCAGAATAGAGAAGTTTTCAGTCGCTTCGTGGGGTCATAGAAGATTCGCAATCAAGTCGCTTGAGGATCCGACAAAAATTAGTACTGAATTCTATCGCTTCAGTCGATCCTCAAATACAACTCACATAGCAAATTTACGACCGTCACATGGAAACATATACTCTTCCAGGAAGTTTTGTAAAGACGATCAATTTCCGATCTTGAATTTATAATTTGAGTTCACACACACCTGGATGGAATTGAATCCCCCGCACAAAACAACATCCGGTCACGCCCGAATTTGGCATCAGAATGAAAATTGGTTGAAATACAAATATAAGAACGAAAGCTCTAAATTCGGAGCGAACAAAACTAAGCACCTGCTGTATCGAATCACACAATGCTCAATTGTGGCACATACTTATTTCAAAATAGTGAAAGGTGCAACTATATCATATCACCACGGTGAAAGCTACAATGCTTCGATTCTGTAAAGCCATATCTAAATCCCATTCGACTTCACAACAGTTAAAACAAGCGTAATCATCAAGTTTTTCTTCAATAGAACGCCCGGACGATAGTATAACTCTTCCTATCATACAGTGAGGTTTTTTCAGTCACCAAAGCTTACAACAACAACTTGTTGAACGCATTTCTAATCCGTCTCCACAGCTGACTCGTGGCCAAAGCATAGAACCTTTCGCTCTAAAAATTGAATCATAGAGAATGTAAATTGCTAGTCCATAATACGCCCCACGACGAAAACAGGGCCCTACGTATCGTAATTACTGTTGGTTGGCATGACAAGATGAGAAAAGGGTGCATAAAACTGTTCAATAAACAACTCTTTAATTACCTACTCCATTGAGTAAGTGAGAATATGGTGGCTCATATATTAGATAATCGAGTATTTTTACCTTCGGGAATACCTGCAGATTAAATTTCGTCGTATAGGTTTATAGAAGTCTGAACTTAGATAGATCTCTTATATGAGATCATTTAAAGATAACCAAAGGTCCGAATATATTTTAATAATTGTTTCCATTATAGATGCACATTCCCGAGTACAAGACGTTTTCTCTGTTTCTGAAAATGATATTTAAAAAGCAGAAACCCATCAATGCCCTACCAACTAAGCTGGTGTTTATAAATGAAATCAGGTCTTATGATCTACTCGGTGTCGCTGGTATTTGGTCTAGTAACTAACCCCGATGTTGGCTCTTCATGTATGTTAGAGTTGTCTGTATCAGCATTGTACCCTCACTAGTAGTGGACAGGTGAGCTTGTATACATACGATGTTAAAGTGTTAGGCAAGATATTTTGGGTACGTATATCACGCTTGTGCTTATGAAGACACTTCATCTCCATTTATTTGTACGTGCAAAAAAAGACATTAAATTGCTCTTGATGTTTTTTAGAGTTATTTAAAGCTGAATGTGTCCCCAAGAGAGATGGTGGCTCATATATTAAATTTTAGAGACTTTTTAACAAAGTAAACCGTTTTCAGCAATGTCCTAGCAACTAAGCTGATGCTTATTTATGAATGAGTCTCATGATCCTCTCGGTGTCACCAGTCTATGGTCCGGTATCTAACCCCAAGATTGGCCTTATGTGTTTGTCAGAGTTATCTGGAGCTGTACTGTACACCAACTAGTAGTGGACAGGATAGCTTTTTTACATATGACGTAAGTAGCAAGTACGATTTTTTGAGTACGCTAGAGTTGTTCTCACCTTAGGTGAACCGTCGTCTTATTATATTTGTTCTTATAAAGACACTTCATCTCCATAGATTTGGAAGTGCAAAAAAAAGTTTTAAGATTGCTCTTGATGTTTGCAAATTATCTAGAGCTGCATTTTTCCCTCGCTGGTGGATTCCAAGTAAGGTGACGTAGGGGCCAAGTAAGGTATTTTGAGTACGTCATGGTTTGTATTTGCCTACTGTGAACATTCTTTTTATTATGTTGGATTAATTTTATGAAGACTCTTCATTCCCTTTTATTTGTATTACGTCCAAAAGAAAAAAACTTGAATTCTCAGTAAGCGTACATACGGTGGTCAAACAACGAAGCCATAAATACTGCACGCCATATAGGTGTGTAACTGTCTTAGGTTGGAAAAAAGTTCTATCCCGTTTTTAAATGAGCAACCGGATGTGATTTCGGATGCAGCTACTGTGAGCACCGAACTCGGTAGCGCCAATTCTGTCTGTACACTTTAAATCGTATTCATTTTTCACTCGTGATGAGAATAGAATACGAGAGCCATGAGAACATTCACAGGAATTATTCTTGAAGAGCTGTAGCGCAAACCCGAGATTCTGGGAGGTCAACAAGCTCTTACCCACACAAATTAGTATGATCAGGGTAAAGAAGGATGGTGACGACTACAATATAAGCTTCAAAAATTTGTAATAGACCAGGCAAATGACTAAACCAACCAACCTAGTATAGGTTGGTTAGATCTGTTATTCACCTAAAATACTACAAGTATAGTAAATAAGGTAAATGGCTAAAGCAACAAACCGAGCACTAGGTTCGTTGGAGCAGTCACATACATTATTTACTAAAAAACTGGAAAGTGTCGCGAGTACTACGATCTCAGTCCACACGATCCGCTCCTGGGTGGAATTATCTGAGCCTTCTACTCTGAGATCACTACTCTTGAGCGGATTTCTTTGAACCTTTCGCACCGGGCAATAGTGCTGGCTTAATACCAGTTGATTAGGGGCGGAGACCAAGGTGCTCAAGCGGCCGGAATTTATCAAGCGAAAGCTGGTGGGGTTACAGCTACGAGAGCGGCGGGTTCCTAAGTGATGCTTGCATCACAAAACTTACCCAAGACAAAAATCGAACACGCGACCTGTCCGAGTCTGTAATAAGTATGGTGAACGACCGAAGCAAACAACCTAGTACTAGGTTGGTTGGTACGAGGTTGATTGGTTCAGTCATTCACATTATATGTTACACAAGCTGACTACCCCTGAACACTACACGACATGCTCTAGACCCATACTTTAGATTGCCCATTTAAGGCTTCGACGACTATAGTGGCGTGCGGTCAGCAAGTAGCACTTGGGCGAAGTATTGCATAGATATTCAAACCCAAGCTGTCCTAGTCCAACAGCTTGTAGATTTTTAAGCACCAAACATCTGAGTCTCGACTTGTCTATATCTCCCCCAAGAGGGGCATTTACACTACGCAGTACTTCTTTTCTTTACATATTGCCGATATCCGTATACCAGAATTAACTCATACATAATGGTGCCTTACGATTTTCGCGGTGTTGTTGGTTTGTTGACTTTTTTTGTCGACTTTAATCAAACTCAAGGCAAGTGCCGGTGCAGCTGCCGTTCAGTTTAAGATCATTATCATGTTGTTGCAAGCTATGTTGTATGAGGTATTTAACAATGGCTTGATTGAAGTGTCACCTCTGTCTGCTTGACATAGTTTGCAATTAATTCGTATTGGCTGTACCAATGCACATTTGAATTTGAATTTGCATGAAGTGCCTTATGATGCAAAGGCCAACTAGGCTTGCGCATGTAGATAGGTTGAACTGTTTGAGTTTCTAGTTTGTCGTGAATGGTTGTGTCAACAACATTGATAACAAGTCCTGCATGGACTACCATTAGTGTTGATGCTCACGTTTTCAGTCGAGTTCGACTATGAATGAGCTGATATACTCCAGGCACAACATATCATCTTCTTCAAGGCCCTTCCCATCGACACTGCATCTATACAGGCCACACACGTTACATTAGAGTTTTCAGTAACTTCAACCAATACGC